TTGATCACCTGAGCCTTTTGATGTAGCATGTCTTCAGCAGTAGGAATGATGATGGAATGATAAGAACCAAGGGGAATCATGCCTGGTTTGTGTCCATATAGTGCTTCAAAAGGTGTCATTTATGCACTGCTATGGAAGGTAGTATTATACCACCACTCAGCAAGTACCATCCATGATGACCAGGAATTTGGAGAATGACTACAAAAACATCTCTGGTAAGCTTCCAAACATCGATTCAGTCTCTCAGTCTGGCCATCAGCTTGAGGGTGATAAGAGGTGCTAAGACTCAGTTTAACCCCCACGGTTGTGAAGAGCCTTCCAAAAGTGACTGGTGAAGATCATGTGTCTGTCACTCGCAATATCTCTTGGAATTCTATGAAGTCTAAGGATCTCTTTAAAGAAAACTTCAGCAACTTCTGTAGTTGTATATGGATGTTTGAGTGGAATAAAGTGAGCATATTTAGTTAACCTGTCCACCACAACCAAAACAGAATTGTGTCCATCCACGGAAGGAGGAAGTTGATCAATAAAGTCCATAGTAATGTTGGTCCAAGCTTGTGTGGGAATCTGTAAAGGCTGTAGCAATCCGGGATTTGGAAGATGTTCCCCCTTATGAGCCGGACAAATAAAGCAAGTCCTTACATATTCTTTCACCTCGGGTCTCATATCTTTCCAAGTAAAAAATGGATTTCAATCTTTGAAAAGTGGCCTTTTGACCAAAGTGACCTCCTAAAGAAGTTGAGTGAAAATTTTCCATTAATAGCTTCCTGATTCCACCTTGAGTTCCAACATAAATCTTACCATTTGTTTAAGAATTCCACTAACAAAATTCAACTCTGGATGATGGATAGCATCCATAATGGCAGTAGTAATTATCTCCTGAGCTTCATCGTCTCCGACATAACTGTCTTCTAGTTACTGAATCCAAAGTGGTCTGATAGTTGATACTGCTTTAACAGTATTTAGAGTTTGATCCTCATTCTGATATCTTCTAGAAAGAGCATCAGCAGCCACATTTTCTCTTCCCTTTTTGCATTGGATTTCATAGTCCATCCCCAACAGCTTAGCTAACCATTTGTGTTGCATTGAGGTGGTGAGCTTCTATTCTAACAAATACCTCAAAGCTTGATGATCAGTCTTAATTATAAAATGATGACCGTCCAAGTAGTGCTTCCACTTAGTGATAGCCATAATCACTGCTAATAGTTCCTTTTCATATATGGAGAGCCCTTGATTTTGAGGACTGAATGCTTTGCTAATCAAAGAAATGGGTTGTCCTTCCTCCATAAGCACTGCTCCCATTCCATTTTCACAGGCATCAGTCTCCACAGAGAAAGTAAGCTCAAAATTAGGTATTCTGAGGACTGGTGCACTAGAGGGGCATTGTTTAGTGTTTGAAAGCAATGCTAGCTTTTGCATTCCAGCTGAAAGCATCTTTTTTGAGTAAAGCAGTTAAAGGTTTGTAAAGGATGCCAAAACCTTTAAATAATCTTCTATAGTATCCAACCAATCCTAGAAATCCCCTAAGTTCCTTTAGAGATTATTGTTCTGGCCAATTCACGATGCACTGAATCTTCCTTTCATCCATTTCTACACCCTTCTCAGATATAACTTGGCCTAAATATTCAATAGAAGTCTGAGCAAAGCAACATTTAGACTTTTTTGCAAATAGCTCATTATCTCTGAGAGTTTGCAGGACCAGTTTCAAATGAGTTACATGATCATCTATGCTTAAGTTGTATACTAAGATGTCATCAAAGAAAACTAGTACAAACTTTCTAAGAAATGGTTTGAATACCTGATTCATAAGTGCTAGATAGGTTGCAGGTGCATTGGTTAAGCCAAAAGGCATTACCACAAATTCAAATTGTCCATGATGTGTCTGAAAAGCAATTTTTATGTCCTCTTCCTTCATTCTAATTTGATGATATCCAGCTCTCAAATCAATTTTAGAAAAGTATTTGGCTCCCAGTAACTCATCAACCAGTTCTTCTATAACTGGAATTGGATACTTGCTTTTGATAGTCAATTCATTCAAATGTCTGTAATCAGTTTACATCATCATGGTGGTGTCCTTCTTTTGTACTAATAAAATTGGTGAAGAATAAGAGATGTTGCTTTCCCTTGTTGTACCTTTTTCCAGCATTTGATCCACTTGTTTCTCTATTTCAGCCTTATGAGCATGAGGATACCTATAAGGATTCAGCTTGAAAGGTGTTGCTCCTGGTTTCAGAACAATTTGATGATCTACAGCTCTCAGTGGTGGTAATGAAGTTGGTTCTGCAAAGATATCATCAAATTGTTCCAACAATAAAGCAATGTCAGATGGTAATTCCTCAATGTTGACAGCATGTAAGTGTCCAACATCTTCTTCTCCTGATCTAATCCCTATTGGATTCCTTCTTCTGTACTCATCATGTCTTCTAACCTCTTGTTCCCATTCCCATTGTTCTTTCCTCTTGGAATGGTGCATGCTTTCCATCACTTCTTCAACTCTTTTGTGAGCTTCATAAGCTTCGCCTTGTTAAACATATCTTTCTCCTCTTCTGTTGAGTGAATGGAAACCTTTCATAATCAAACAGTATGGGACTGAATTTAGACATCCAATCAATTCCCAAAATGATATCCCAGTCTCCAAGGTCAATCAACTTGACATCAAACCTGAAATCATATTGTTGTATGGTCCACATAGCTTCTGGACACACTTGATCATTTCGAATACTATAGCCATCAGCAACAGTGACTACAAAAGGTCTACATCTTCTTGTCAACATCTTCATTCTGTTCACCAATTTACCATCAATGAAACTCCTTGTAGCACCTGTATCTATCAATATCTTGATTAAGATATGATTGATATAGCCAAAAATGACTATGATCTTTCTATATTCCTCCTCTAGAGCCCAACATTCTTCTAGTTGAGTAATGGTTTATATCTGTTCTCCTAGCTGCTCCACTAATTCCCCAGCATCATCTACTCTTTCTTCAATGAAATTGAAGTCACTCAGGGGCTCTCCTTCTTCACCATGTCCTGGACCCCACTTCTCTGAACATTTCCCGCATAAGTTGTTGTTCCTTCTGTACTGAGTTTCTTGGGGAGACAATCTTTTGAATGCTTCATTTCCATTTCCTCGGTTGAGATTTGGATTGGCTCTCATGGTATGAGGAGTTCTCATAGAAGGATGATAACTTCTTATGGCAGAAGTGTTTCCAACCTTGTTTTTGAGTGCAAAAGCCAAAGTTTCCTCTTGAACCATTGCTATTTCAAAACCTCACATCAAAGTAATAGGCTCTAATAGTCTCACCATCAGTTTCAGCTCTTCTTTCAACCTACTAATAAAGCTGGAGATAAAGTATCCCTCTGTCAGGTGAGGATCCTTACACAGCACTAAGGATTTAAGTTCTTCAAACTGTTCATGATATTCCTTTACAGTTCCAGTTTGTTGCAGTTTGTTAAACTCCTTAATTTCATCTTTACCTCCTTTCTCTCCAAACCTCTTCAACAGTTCAGTTTCAAATTCATTCCACATCCTTTTTAAACTCCTATACCAAGTATCTACGTTCTCATCTAGATATAGTTCAATCGCATCCAATTTGCCTGATTCAGTTACTTCCCATATACTAAACAACTTCTCACACTTTCTTAACCATTCTCTAGGATATTCACCCACAAAATTCGAAAACTCTAACCTTGATTGAGAGATCCACAGTTACCTACTAGATCTATCAATTCCCGGATTAAAGCTCTCATCTTCATCAATAGTAATCTTATAAAACTTTACAGGAGTTGGTAACAAACCAGCAGAGTTACTAGTGAAAGAATTGTTCATAGGAACCTTACCATCGTCAGCAATCCCTCTAGAACTTCCTTCCTTGCTGAGATTCATCATCTGAAGAAGATCGTTGAGTTGAGATGACATCGTCTAGAATTGTTTGGCTTGCAACTCAGCTTTAGAATCAAACTGGGTCCCCAAATGACTATGGCGTTCTTCCAACTGTTTTCTCCATTTGGCTATCTCCAAGATTTGCAAATCTTGTTTCTTAATGTGTTCCTCTAATATTTGAGTGGTTTTAGATCGGTCTCAGTCATCGATGAAGGTGTTAAGAAAATGATTTCTTTTCTGTCTGAATAACGTGAAAGCTGACAAAAAGATCCCTCGGGCCAAGAATAGACCTTGCTCTGATGATACCAAATGTTATGTTATAACTATTATATTTATGTTTTTACCGGAAATAACTTGGCAAAAAAGAAAAGAAAGAAAGCAAGGTTTGAATTAGTCGAAAAGGGAAAGAAAAGGACAAGAGGAGCGTATAGTGCAGGAAATGAGTAAGAAAGGACAACAGAGAGAGAGTAACAAATAGAGGACGGATAAGAAGATAAAGGAGAAGAGATTTCATTAACGTTTCTGATGATCATCATTACAGCTTCATTCTCTTATATATTAGGTGCTAATAATTTAATTTAAAACAGAAATCGGTCGTCATTATCCAAAAGGAATCATCAAGCTGGCTATACTATGTCAGCTGGAATCTAAAACTTCACATTGCATGCTGCATGTGATCAAGAAAGCAACGACGACGTTTCTGTCCAAAATTCCAAAACCTAATTTAATTCCCAATTTAAGGATTTGGGCTGCATGACATTAACTTACATTTCCTATTTCACGGGCATCATGTTCGTAGCATCAAATGTCAAATTCCAATGCTTGGATTAGACTATTAATTTCATTGATGTAAAACATGTCACGTAAAAAAAAAAAAAAAAAATGAAAACAGTAGTGTTGAACATGGATTACACAAACAAGATAAATAACATGACTTTTTTCCCCGGGTTGAATACAAACAAGAATGCAAACAAATCCCTTTTTTTTTCCTTCCGAATACAAATGAGTCTTCCTCCCACAAGAATAGATAACTTAACATTTAAATTATTTTTTATTGTTATTTTGCCGTTAAAAAATTTAATGTTATAAAGCAATGTTACAGAATACAACAACAACCCAGTATATTCCCAACTCGTTTAGAGTTTGGGGGTCAAGATGTACGCAGTCTTACCCCTTTGTATTAATACAGAAAAGTTGTTTGAGTAGTACGACTCAAGATATTCTATAAAACAATATTATAGAATATCAGAAAAAAAATATCTGAAGGCGGCCACATGCTTTTTGGCCAGGCCAAGCATCTAGTTCATAATGAAAAAGATAGTACTCTTGTCCATTACAAAATGAAAAATTATACTGGATTTTATACATAACCATTGAGCTTTCTACAGAAAAATGCTTCAAGTACTCCCTCCATCTTAAAATTATTATCTAGTTTGGATTTTCATTGTTAGTTCAAAGTATACTAAAAGTGAAATTTCAAACTCGATACTAATTTCAGAATAACGAGAGTAGTAAAAATGTACAACAAAGCGAATCACCATCACATTCTAGTATGTATCAGCAAGCAGATATACTGAAATCTGCCCAACTCAAACGTAACATACCCAGGAAGTTGGAGCCATGTTGGACTCCATTCTTAAGCGTCATTGACTCGCGACTCAGTTTGGTGAAGAAGTCCAATCTTTCAAAGGCACAAGTACCTCCAGTTTCTACATAATTTATCAAATTTTAAGTTTGGGAAACCCTCGGTTTCCTAAGGTTATCTTCCTCTTGTGATGATGGACGCAAGGATAATGAAGAGGCTGTGGCATGATAAGATGAAGATGCTAGCTGCGCAAGCGCTGGCACAGAACCACCTGATAACAAATTAAATCCAACACAGATGAGTCATTTAAACAAGGAGGTGCCATGAGAGCCAAATTATGAACTCAAAAGCCAAAAAACTAAACAGAAAACCCACTACTTGAGAAGAGACTCGCAGCTGATGATGACATGTTTTTTACAAAAGCTTCTGAACACAAAAGAAGTCTCCAAAATCCTAAGTTTAAACAAAATAACTTTTAGCTCCCTCATAATTCCAAGCAGCTACATGACAAATACTCATAATTTCAATTCCCTCCATCTGGTATAGATAGGATTACTGAACAGAAAACAGAAAATTCCTAAATTGTGGTTATACATGCTCAAAAAAGGACCCCACTACTCCACAGAGACAATTATGAATGAGTTGAAGGTTCAGTGCAATTCCGTTGCCTGATTAAAATAAGGTAGTTGAAGTTCTTTCGTCTTATTTCGGTTGACATGCGGCCATGAGCTGTAACCCATGGAGTCAAATTCAATAATGAAACATTGGCAATTATGGTTTTGCTAAGGCAATTGTCACAAAACAAACTCAAGATAAAAACAAGCTCTGGAATCAGCCTAAATTTGAATGGATTTTAATGCTGAATATTCATTTGATCTCAGCATAATTTAGCATACAAAATAAATATATAAGCTAAGCAAAGTAAACATTCAAGTCAAGACGGGTTCTCAAAATTCTACAATCTTGTTTGTGATTGTGAGAATAAGATTTATGACATTTCAAGGAAAACTCTGATATCTATGTATTATCTTCCACCTGACTAACGTGTAGATTTACTAACCACGGAAACAAAGCAAAATGGCTTTTTAATTACGGATATCATTATTACTTCCAATAACTCATTGCTGCAGCTTCAATTGCTCAACCATTAACATTATTACAATAACCACAGCTAAGTACCCCACAAAGTACCGCACCGTATTAGCTTCCTTATAAGAAGGACAAATAACAGATTGCCGTATGCAGTGACGGGGCAGCTTAAAATATTTCGCACAGGAAAACACAATATATGTAACATACAAAAACCAGATACTTAAACTCTAAACATTCTTGTCCAACAACTAAAGAGCCTATTATACTAGGAATAATCAATCCAAGGAGTCCATAATAAAGAAAAAACATCAGAGAGAATTTTATAAGATCCATGTATCAGAGGCATCACAACTAAGAATCAATCTAGGGAGTCCATAATATTTTCATCTGGCTGGACAATATGGAAAACTCATTCAAGAACATTAGTAGAATAGACATTAAAAACGATGTTAACAGGGTGTATAGACAAGGTATGACATGTACATGCATATATAATTCTTTCTATTTGCAGAAATTTCAATTGGAGTTTTGCTATGGAAGTAAGAAAGGTATCTCAAGTGTGCGGTGCATCTTAATTAGCAATATTTTAGAAGTTATAATGAACTTTCTAAAGATTACAGGAAATAAGCGGTAAAGCTACGGGTAAATTTAATCAATAAGTTCAATATAAACCAGTAAACTGATTCATATCAAAGGAACTTACTAAAGGTAAATTTCTAAAGATTAATATAATCTCTCTTTAACATAAGATAACAAGTAAATTTCCAATGGAGCAGCTGCATTTTGGGGTATGTAAAGCCCTTCAAAGAGAAATACTAACCTGCTAAACCAGCACAAGCTGAAGAAAATACAATAATTGGTGGTGCCTGCAACATGGAGAACTGTTGCTTGAATAACATGTCAAGAAAGAAATAAGAAGGCACGCGGAAAGATACAACATTAACATCGAATAAAGCATATTTACTACCTATATTACAGGAAATTCTCATGTCATCATCAAATTTCTAATTACAGAGTGAAACAAAAGTTGCATATAAGCTCTTGCCGCCTTGTTATATTAAGGCCCAAAACAATCTCGCTTTACAGAAACATCGTAAATCTTTTCCCTAGTGAAAGAATAGCTTCCAGCATAAAGGCTGTGGTTACAGCAGTAGAGATAACAGTAGTGATAAATGGAGGTCATTAGTCAAAGGTGATATGTGGAGAGAACAGTAGTGATAAATAGTAATCTGTCTAAAGTGGAGTTAACAGTAGTAACTTGATTCTGAAATTTCCCAAATTATTTCATCTAAATTACAAGATTAAAGACCATTTCATCACTAAATTTGCTTCAGCGGCCTTAATGGATAACGGAACAATTATTCCGAAGTAGTTTTCTTGGTGAGAGAGTTTAGTGATCACAAAGAAAACCATAGAAAGCGGAAGAGGTTGAATATTGTAGAAGCTAACAGACAGTGGCCAATTACTTGTTATGTAATTGGCAGAAATATGTTTCAGAGAAAATAAAGCAATATGTGTCTGTTTAACAAATGTTGAAATATGAACAGAGCAAGCTACTCAAGAAGGATCTATGTCCCTGAATTTCATACAAAATACTAAATCCAAAAATTAAGATCAGTAATGTGTTTGTATCCTAAGATTGTAAATCATCCCAACATATGCCACGCTTTTTACAAAAAAAAGTTAATAATACAGAAGATCACATACAAGAAAATGATGAATTGGGATCTGAACTGACACATCACAACTTTTTCAATTTCCAACTCAGTTTATTGGCGAAAGAGTAACAACAAAAGTAGCATAATGTTAAGCTTTGCCCACTATTGTTCAGCAAAACTTACCGTAACATTTCCTACATATAAAGGTGCTACACTTATTCAGCTAAATAATCCAGAATACAGAAACAGATTATTTAAAACAGAAAAGGAAATAGAATAAACTGATGATGAACACTCACGCCAATAAGGAAATGCAGCCACATAGGTCCTTTAATCCTCCTCTGAACTACCGGCATGACTGGAAACAGAGAGAACAGTAATTACATGTCAAACGAAATCATAATCTATAGGCAAAAATTTTATTCTGCAGAAAAAAAAGTTAATAATAGAGATGAGGAATAAGAAACCTAAAAATTTTCCAATATGAGTTACACAACACCAGGACACCCTATAAATAACTACAATTGTGAAAAACAATTCACCAACATATTATTCTTATATCCACCAGAAAATTCACTAGGATGCTTTAGTATACCCAATTTATATGGCAGCTCACTACTTTAAAAAAAAAAGAAAAAAAAGAAAAGAAATAGCATCTGATTCAACTGAAGATCCAGCCACTAAAGGTACCATTCTCGCGCCAAGGTAGCTACAATCCACCAAAATACATCTGATCATGTTAGGGTGAAGGTACAAAAACTTCCTATATCAGAATATTCCTAACCGTAAGGATACGAACAGTGCTCCAATAATGTGAAGTATGTTTCAAAAAGTTGTCTTTTTAAGTAGATCTTGGTTCTTTGTCTTCATGATCCTTACCACATTCCAGAAGACATAATAAGATCTTCTTGAACAGTAATAATAATATAAAAGGTGTTCAAACATTTATGAGCAAGCAAATTATTTAGACCAAGTACATTGTGCGTATCTTGAACTTCTCCAACCATATTGCTGCAAGTAACTGGTATTTCTATTATGCAAATTATTCATACATCAGGGACATATTCAAGTAGGAAATAGATAAAGATCAACAATCAAAACAAGGATAAAAGAGAAAGGGGTAACAACTTACCATGATTGAAACCATAAAATGCACTTGTTACTCCACCAACTGCAGAGCCAATCTGAGTCACAAAATTCAAACGAGGAAGGGCTAAATTAGAGAACATAAACAACAGTAAACTCAAAAGGATTGATGGAATACAATAGGCATTCAATTGTACCATAGAGAAACTATCTCTGATAAGTGGTGGAACAGTCCAACGGCTTGTCTCCTAGCAAATTATAATCAAGACAACATATTATTATCTTCTATAAAACCACCAATCAGCGAAGCCATCAAAGAAAGAAATACATGCGAAAAGCATTAAGAGAATTGTGCAAACTCATTTAAAAAGCTCATACCATATCTTTGGAGAGAGGACCGGCGCAATGGTGACATTTGATACAATCAGCTCTTCCTACTTTATCTTGACCGCTAATATTACTTGCTGGGTGATTGGAGGAGAACTCTGCCTTTGATTCTCCCATCATCAGTGTGCAAACTAGTATATAAAATGCATGAAGTTTTACCCCCACAAGGCAAAACGAAAAAGGCAAAAATTTGTGCGTATATCTTAATTTTTATTCCGTCAGTATGGCATCTGTACCCGATGCGTTGAGTCGAAGAAAGATCAAAGACGCGACTCTGGTTAGGTGGCTGGACAGGTGGAAGATGAGCCGCTGTGGCGGCGGGCGGTTGCTACTGAAGCAAAACAATTGGTGTAGTATGGTTATGTTTTTATCATATAATCCAATAATTTACATTATTTATCAAAATAGCCCCGAAACTTCTTCTCTCGTCTGTTTAAGATCAACACTTTTTTTTTTTTTTTTGACAATGGAGGCCGCGGAAGTGGGTGGTGGTGGTTTTTGGTGCCGGTAAAAAAATAATACCCCATCTGTCCCAACATTATTGTCCAGTTTGAGATTTCACTTTTAGTACAATTTGAACTAAAAATGAAAACCTAAACTAGACAATAATTATGAGACGGAGGGATTATTATTTTAATTGCAATACTATCTAAATAATTTTTTAAATTTTTTTCAAAACACATTTTAAAACATATCTCAAATTTAAAACAAAAATTAAACTAAAAATCAAAATAAACCATCATCCATACAAGCACTTATATTTTCATATTTATTTTATAAATATAAAAAACCCATTTTCTAGTAATTTATGTAGTAATACTCTCTAGTTCAAATTATACTAAAAGTAAAATTTCAAACAGGAGAATAATTATAGGACAGAGGGAGTACAAGGACTTGGAGGGAAAATGGAGCTATACGTTTCTAATTTCTCATCAACCCTTTCTGCTAGTTCTTCTTTTCAATTTATTCTAAGTACATATAATGAATGTCCAGAAGCATTTCATGTTGCAATTTTCGGGCTTCGAATAGTATGTACGTAGCTTTACTTAGCAATGCACAACCACAATGATTAGTAAATTTCTTTTTTTTTTTTATGTAACTTTCTTTATCATAGATTAAATGTCCTAATTATAAAAAAGATTAAATGTTGTAATTTCGTTTGTCCAATTATGAAGAATTAGCAATATATTTGATTCCCAAAACGGGAAAAAAAAATGCTTCACATACAACCGAAATATTACCTCAATTTGAACTTAACAAAATTTTACAAAAAAAGAGGCCTAGATTCAAATAGGGAGAAGACGAGTAGAGGAGGCGAAATGTAACCTTACTATGTAAATTCTTTCTCCCCATACCTATTCTTGCTTTACTAATAATGGAATACTAGATGCTTGCCCGCAAATATGTGAGCGAGCGACAATTCTCATCGTACCTAGATGCTTTAAAGTAAAATGACATATAATATTATATATTTAATTTAAATAATAATTTTCATCGTACGAAATAATAATCTTTTGTTCTCACCCCAACCATTCCGAGAGCTCATAAGTTAATCATATTTGTCAAGTGTAGACAAAAATTATTGTTTTCGAGCAATACATCATGGAAAAAAAAGGGGGGGAGGGGGGCTAATTCCTTATTAATAAAAAAAATTTTGGAAATATATTTTGTATATATTTAAATGCATAAGTTTTAAAATGATATTCCTTCCCTCTGTCTCATAATTATTGTCCAGTTGAGATTTTACTTTTAATACAATTTGAACTAAAAATGAAAATTCAAACTGGACAATAATTTTGGGACGGAAAGAATATAAAATTACAATACAAAATCCTCCGGTGAATGAACATGCTCGATAGGAGATCCGTATCACATTTAGTCCAGATTCTTCCAAATGATTCTTGAATCGGGCCATTTAATTTCTCACAATCACCAAATCTTCAGAAGTTATTTGGCAGTCTTTCTTGGTTGTCCCTTATTGCTTTATAGTATGAGAGAGAGGTAAGAACTTCCAAGAAAAAGAGGGTCACAATAGTATGGACTATCCAACACCTAAGATTGTTTTTTTTATTTCGATAAAAGTTATATACCCAGGACAACTTTAGTACCATTTTCAAAAACATAATCCTTTCATAACTACAAGATTGATAAGTTCAGAGGTAACACCAGAAAGTTTATTTAAATCACTAGCACGACCTCTTCACATTTTCCCACTTAAAGACTAGAAACAGTAAAAATGACTTGTTAAGCTTTATATAAGCAGAATATTAATAAGATGTTGTTGCAAATAAGGTTATTAAAAAGGTAAATGAGAAATATGTTTCTAATATGCTTGGAAATAAAATGTCAGAGTCAACTGTTTTGTTTTGACTTGTATATAGATGTGCTTACATACACCAATATCCAATTGTAACTTACGAACTCGATCAACCCGTGTTTTACTTTCTGTTAGAACTATTCCAAACAATGAATAGAGAGAAAATGACTAACATTAAACTTGTTATAAAATTAATGATATACTATTAATATGAAACTAAGTATAAGAATAAGAGAGAGAAAAAAAGAGAGTAGAGAGAGATAAGGGACTTGTATATTGAAGTGTGTTTTGAAGCATGAATGAGCTTCCTATTTATATAAGAAGTAGGAGATCAAATTTCGAGAAATAAATCACCTATTGTTAATGTTAAACAGAATCATATATCATTGATTGTGAACAGAATAATACATATTAATCTTGGACATTCAATCAAATCAAATCAAATACTTCATAACACTCCCCATTTGAATATCCATCTTTCTAGAACAATGCCTCGTTGAAATCTTACTAGGAAAAATCTTTTGGGATAAAACCCTAATAAAGGAAAAATAGTACATGTCCAAATATGACACTGCCTCGTTAAAAACCTTGCCAAAAAAACTAATTGGGATAAAAACTTTGTCAAGGGAAACAGAGTATAATGCATATTACTCCCCATGATGAGTACATCACTTGATATCTTTTAACCGTTGTATTCAAATGTTGTGCACCAATTTCTCATAAACTTTTTTCTGTATAACATGAGTAAGAAAAACTTTGGTGAAGTATACTTCGTTCTATCAACTTTGATAAATCCTTCATTCAGCTCATCAATGCATGCAGTCTTATCAAAAGTAGTAAGAATACTCTTATCCAATTTTAGGTACAAGATCCTAGAATGTGCTGAACAATAAGATCTTAACCAAACACACTCTTGACTTGCTTTATAAATTGGCGAAAGTTTTCGTATGGTTGGTAAAAGTTGCAGCTAGAATCTACTACATAGATTGCCAGGAAATAACTTTTCTTCCACGTGTAAAAATATAACCAGACTTCCTCTTTTGTGGAGGAAAATTACAACGAAGATTCCTAATTAAAAAAATTGTGAAGTTTCATTCAAGATTTGCATACTTACAAGGTTGAATATGAATAAACAGAAAGAATGATATTGATCATTCTACAATTGATTTGTGTTTATGTCATACTCAAACCTTTCCAATAATTTCACTTGCGACTTGATTAGCTTTAACAGTTTCATTGGCCGACATCTTAACGTTGTAATCATTTTTTGTCATCCAGAGACATGGCACAATTATTAATCTACGACTGTGAGTCATGAAGATTACCTTATCTGATTAATCTCCATGCTGGAGCAAGAAAGTCAAGATAGGTTTTATAAGTCTTTCCTTCGGGATGACTCTTATCGGTTGCATAATCACCAGACTTTTACCAGGACACGATCAACAACTATCTTCCTCCACTCTTCTGACTTGAAATCTGTTGACTTGCCCGCTATTGGTTTAAGTAATTTTAGACAGGATTTGGCATCGGAAGTGCCTTTGCAAATACACACAAGATACCACAAGAAAGAGCACAACCAAAGGAATTATAAATTTTGTCATTATTTTTGTTGTTGTAAGAAAGTGGAAGCTGGTGGAAGAACACTTCCTGAATTACTTTCAAAACCAGCTGGGACAGAAAGCTTCAAGAGAATCTGTGAGGGGGGAAGTATTTGAACTGGGACCTAGACTCTCATTGGAGCAGCAAATGCAACTGATCATACCATGCACCAGAGAAGAAGTCAAAAAAGCACTGTGGAGCATCAATAGCACAAAAAGCCCTGGCCCTGATGGATACGGGAGCGAGTTCTTCAAAGCTACCTGGAAGATCATTGGGGAAGAAATAACAAATGCAGTGCTTGAATTCTTCGAAAATGGTATGTTACTTAAACAACTAAACTCCACTGTTCTTGCTTTAATTCCGAAAAATGAAAATGCTTGTAATGCAGGGTAGTATAGACCAATAGCATGTTGTAACGTGCTTTATAAGATCATTTCTAAAGTGTTATGTAATAGATTAAAAGTAGTGTTACCTGTTTTGGTAGATAGCAATCAAGGGGCTTTTGTTGGGGGTACATTAATTTTACACATCATTTTGATCACTCAAGAGTTGATTAGACTATATCGAAGGAAGGGGATTAGTGGGAGATGTATGCTAAAGATTGATTTACAGAAAGCGAATGACTGTGTTGAATGGGGGTTTCTAGAAGAATGTCTGCTAGGATATGGTTTTCCTGCGCAATTTACTGAGTGGATTCTGGAGTGCGTTAAAACAACCACCTTTTCCCTCAGTATAAATGGTTCACATGTAGGATTCTTTAAAGGACAGAGAGGTTTGAGACAAGGAGACCCTATCTCACCTCTCTTGTTCGTCCTCTTGATAGAATACCTGACTAGACTCTTAAGAAAAGTTGCTGCTCTACCTAGATTCCAATTCCACCCTCTATGCAAAACTCTTAGATTATCCAATATTTGTTTTGCCGACGACCTGATGATATTCAGCGCGGCTGATTTGGTAACAATAAAGTACATACAGAATGCCTTAGCTGAGTTCTCTAGTGTCTCGGTCTGAAAGCCAATCCCTTAAAGTCAGAAATCTATATGGGGGGATAGAAAAAATAGTCAGACAAGAAATATGTAATATTATGGGTTTTAGGGAAGGCTAATTTCCAATGAAGTATCTAGGAGTCCCTCTATCTCCCAAAAAATAGAGTCAAATGGAATGCCAAGTATTGGTGGATCGAATAACTAAGAGGCTGAAATGTTGGATTTCTCGTGACCTATCTTATGCAGGGAGAATACAATTAATTAGTTCGGTACTAATGAGTATGCATGTCTACTGGTCGTCAGCTTTTATACTTCCAAACAGCATTACTGAAGCTGTCAACCGTAAATGTAGAGAATTCCTATGAGGAGTTAAGAAATCTGGTAGATATCATGCCTTGGTAGGATGGGATACTGTGAGTAGAAGCAAATCAGAGGGAGGATTGAGCATCAGGGATGCTAGGTTTGGAATGAAGCGGCAATTCTAAAACAGGTGTGGTGGTTAGCTAGTGGAAAAGATAGCCTATGGTTGAAGTGTACTCATGAAATATACTTGAAAAAGACTAACTTCTAGGAGATACAAGCTAAGCCCGATAGTAGTTGGTCGTGGAAGCAAATTCTCAAAATGCAAGATAAAGCAAGAGAGGGCTTTATAGATGGGAAATGGAGGGGGAATAGGAAAGGTGTATATACTATACACTCAGGGTATAAATGGCTGCAGGGAGAAGGACAGAAGATGCCTGAAACAGCAGTGATTTGGTCAAGGATGAATGTGCCTAAGCATCCATTCATAGCTTGGCTGATTTGGAAAGGGAAAGTGTGGACCAGGGATAGATTAATGCAGTACAATATCTCTGTTCAAGATGAAAAATGTTGCTCATGTACAGGGCAGAAGGAGACTATAGAACACTTGTTTTTCCTGTGCCCCTTTTCCAGTGAGTTGATTGGCAAAATGAAGGACTGGTTGGGGATTCGGAACTCAGCCACTGACATGAGGAGATGGAAAAAGGAGGTACTGCATACCTGGAAAAAGACTAGGCTCAGAAAATGCTTTCTGTATGCTTTACTGGTGGCCTGTTTGTATAGCATTTGGGAAGAAAAAAATTGTAGAATCTTCAGGGATCAAAAGCGAAATGTGGCAGCTCTCTTCACAGAAGTTCAAGAAGTGATAAGAATCAGGGTTCGACAGTGGAAAGGCAACAAGCTGACAGAAGCGGAACGCCTAATCCTTCACAGTTTGATGCAATCTTCAGTGATCAAATGGGGTGTTTTTTTTTTTGTTTTAAATATGATGTAAATATAGATTTTTTGGCAGGACCTTGTGCTTCCAGATTATCATTTATATGAAATTTACAGTTTTTACCAAAAAAAAAAGAAAAAAGATGTAGCGTGTTTATCGAGAATGCATAGACATAAAATTTGTCAAAGTGTGCAAGAACCCAAGAAGGTCTAGAAATAGGTAATTTTGTGCAAGTTATTAGCGCACATCGTATATCATAATTAGAGTTAGTTTGAAAATAATGGGTAGTGTTAAAAATTTTATTGTTCCAAAATATTGATAACCCGAAAAATCATTTTCACATTATCTCTACTTGGTAGTATTTCTTGGGGGTTAGATTTGAGCAATTCTAATTAACATTGACTAATGGAAACCTATCACAAAGGACCGACGCTGGAAGTTAGAACCGGAACAAGTAATGCATCGGCCACTTAAAGTTTTGAGTTAACAGGAACAAGATGGATCGTTGTTTCTATCACCATATTTAAAAGAATACGTTTTATTCAAACACATATCCCCCTTACTATATAGTCCAAATCCACCTTCCATTTGGTACCCTTGACAAGAATGATCTCCTGCAAAAACAAAGACAAAAAATGTAATACTCCCTCCGTCTCATAATTATTGTTCAGTTTAGATTTTTATTTCTATTTTATAATATACTAAAAATAAAATAACTGGACAATAATTTGGGACAGATATAAAGAGTATCACTTTTATTAATTCTATCAAATATTAATACTAATAATAATAATAATGAGACAGAAAGAGTATCACTTTTATTAATTTTATCAAATAATAATAATAATAAAATTTGGACAGAACATGGTTAACTCCTTGTGTTTGGAATTACCGCGAGCAACAACATAGTTTCATATGGTAGGATCTAAATTGCCACCAATTGCAAGATTTAATAGTTTATAATTAATAAATTAGTCATGGTTTAAGTTAAAGATAGTACTATATATCAAATATAGTGCTGTTGAAGGCAAATTTGCGATACCACTATGGAGCAACAACCAAAAACCTAACTCTAGAATATGCAACTGGTGGCAATTTAAACCATGGCTAATTTGTTAAGCCATGACCAAGTTGTAAAATATTCACAAAACTTAAAAAGAATGATGTGAATGCATTTGCATATAGGTAGTTTCATTAACAGGAACTACTAGATTTGTTCTCGTCGCACTATGCGTGACCAGTTCGAGTCATGCCAATATGAATTCACTTCAAATGGTCACGTTCTCAGATGGCTTAATGAAATTCTAATAATAATTACTATATGATGCTGGAAACAAGATTCATTAGCACCACCATATGTTTCCTAGACGGCGGATTGCTTGCATTGCCACCATCGGATGCCCAACCAAAGTATGATCACAATTTATTTGTTGGACGCAAAATCTACACTATCGTCACCATTGATAACCGAAAAAAAAATCTGAATTAGTTCTTCTTCCTTTCGAGAGATTAACCATCGCCACTATAACATAACAATTGGATTTCGAACCCAAGAAGATAATTGGATTTCAAAGGGATGGAAAAATGGAGGTGACAGAAGATTAGATTGACTTTTGGGGCGGGAAAAATTTGTAGAGGAAGAAGGGAGAGAGAGCGGCTGAAAAAATTGTCAGTAAAAATTGGGACAAAAAATTAACATTTTAATTGGTAACATTGGGTAGCAAACGTCGTCGTTTAGCCTGCTAATTAGGTTATTTATCTCGGCTAATGACATATTTGGTCGCTAAAAAATAAAAAACAACTTTATTAATTGACAATTGTAGCCTTGTTTTAAATTGTTAATGTCATGTTAATATATTCACCAATCAAAGAGCTCAATTTAAAATTGATGATGTCGTGTGAACTAATGGGCCAATCAGAATGGTAAATTTAATTTCTGACTAATAACGTTCAAGATTCTAAACTTACCAAGAGAGATTTAATTATATATACAGATGAAAGTATGTACTCTTTACATCTAAATAAGAAAAAATAATTCATTACTTCTCATTTTAGTTACTCGGACATATTTAACATTCGACCCAAATGGACTTCTTTTGGTAGTGATCCTGATCCATTTTTTTTAGAAATAAAGATAAATTAATTAATTTGCTAGAAATTGTCTAGCAGATAAAAGCAAGATGCAGCAAGATGCAGCCATAAAAGCACAACTTACAAACAGTCACAATGTCCTTACTATGTTTCGCTACATGGATAAACCTATCCCGATCTACCCCATAAAATAATGGTTGTACCACGTGTCAAATTTTTAATACAACACTAACCTTCGATTGAAACCCCCAAATCGTAAACCTGATGATAATTAGATCTACTATGACCGAATCTTCTTGGACCATGCCTGCCAAACCGACGAACACCTTCAATGAAGCCGTCGACGCCGTATCTGCATAAATCATACCACCGCCACACTAGCAAACATCAACAAGGATACTGACGTCATACCTGCAAACATCGATAAAGATATTGCCGTTATACTGTACATTATTAATCTACAAGCTGTTTATTGAAACTATATTAAAAGACAATAAAAAGGTTAAAGGATATTTGTAGAATTATTTTCTACATCCTTCCATGGTAGAAAGATGCGGGAATATTGATTTTGTGTTTTAGGGTTTGAGGAAGAGGGAGAGGGAGAGGCGGCAGAGATAAATTAGGTTATTTGATCCTGATCCATATAGATCAACATAATTGTTTCTTTACAAAAGGAATATATTTGTTCATTGAATTAAAAAAAAAAAAAGAAAAGAAAATCCAGGTCCGAGAATAAGGGAAACGAATACAACACATTTTCCCTATATCATCATCAAACAATAAGTCGTTACACTTATAACACGCTATAATTTTACTGGCAGTTATAATAATAAGGATCCAAATTTAATTTTAGTCTCTTAATTAATTAAAAGAATGGCGTCATCCTCGTCAGAGAAAACCATGGAGGACCCATCTCCAACAACACCACCGCCGCCGCCACGAACACCGTCGACGCCGTCATCGGAGACTCCCATGACTACGCACGTGGCATTGCCGAGGGCACTGATCGAGAAGCTGAGAAGCATAAAGAACTGGGGCGAAATGTACCGTTGGATGTACGACGACGAAAAAATCCGGCGGGTTTGGGAGATTCAACATAACATGGACGTCAACGATCTCCTCGACTACGTTATGTACGGTGAAGGGGAAGAAGTTGTTTGGGACGACGACGTTTGGGAATTGCAGCGAATTGTGCACACCCCTGATCAAGATCGTCAGCCGGTACCGTCGCCGCCTCCACAACCTCCTAAAATGACCGAAACTAATGCCTATATGAACGTTGACGTCGGAGATCAGCCGCCATCGCCGCCGGCCGAAGGAAGCCCTAATACTGAAAAAATAACGGCATTAATTAATTATTAGGATTATATTTATTTTTTCCTTAATATTATTGCATGGCTGTGATAATGAAAACGCAAATTTGGATGGATCGAAGGGTTTTTTTTTTTTGTTTTTTTGGTTTTTTTTTTTTATTTTTCATTTTGTTGAAGAATGTGGATCGGAGTTGTTTCATTTAGAGTCGAAAAAAAAGGGGATCTGGTTTATTGATTTGGTAGAGTAGAGAAACCATTGTTCAAAAATGGCCATTACAATCTCAATGCTCAAAAATCCTGTTACTGCATTTATTTTACATTTTTACTTAAATTTGGTTTGAATTAATTGGTTGAGTCCACCCATATATATATAGAAGTAATTCCTTTCCTAATTTGGTGCAAGATTATTTTATTCTCAACAGAGACAAAGACATTTATAAAGATGACTCTATTTCCTTTGCTAATTTCATTGAGATTTTTTGTACAGGATTCACAGAATCCGTAACATAATCATACAGATGAATAAGAGGAAGAAGGGAGGCGATTCTGCCAAAATAAAATTTACCATCCAAGACAAAATTTGGATGAAAAGACATAATTATCCATAATAAAGGCATTTTTCATCTTCTTCACCTCCGCAGTGTCGCTCCTCAAAACCCACACCGTTTCGCCGCCGCCGTCAGGAAGAAAAAAGAAAGCAAAATTTTTGAAAAATTGTCTTATTTTTGAGGTCTGGTGTTCCTATTCCCTGTTCCAATACACAATCACCGCCTTAAAAATGGTGGTATGTAATGTTCATCTTTCACCGTCTTGGTCCCTCCTAAAACTAAAGGCCCCTCATTCCTTTCTGCCAAAAGCCCATTAAATTCTCTAAACAAATCAGCTTGAATCTATTAACGTAAAAATTAAGCTTAATCTGTTGTTCCTAGCCAATCTTATAAAAAAACCCATCCAAATTTATGTGCCTTGCTGAACAGAGAGACAAAGAAAGTCCATAAAAATGCTGCACTTATTCAAGGCTTGTTAAGAACACATGGCTCAATGTTCCAAATTGTTTGTCTGTATATATAGCATGGGGCTTGGAAATTGGAATTTGGTGATTCTTTATTGATTGAAAACAATTTATTCGATTTTTTCATGGCCAAATTTATTGGTTCGAATTGGATTGAAACATGTAACACTGAGGGAGAAAAATAAACGACAAAGGTTTTCTGTATTTTCTTGGGATGGGGAATAGGAACACCAGACCTCAGAAATAAGATAATTTTCAAAAATTTTGCTTTCTTTTTTCTTTGTTGCGACGGCGGCCGCAAAACACTGTGGGTTTTGAGGAACAACTCTGCGGAGGTGTATAAGATGAAAAATGCTTTTATTATGGGTAATTATGTTCTCTCACTCAAATTTTGTCCTGGATGCTATATTTTGTTTTGGCAGAATCGTTTCCCGAGGAAGAATTTCATGTGCTTCACTTTTTGAGACATTCATTAAATTTAATCACTGGTAAATCATCCAGTATAAAGCCACTAACTGAAGTACAAACGCGATATCAAAGTGGGTGTTTTACAAAACTTCGCTGATATACATTTTTACATTTTGCAGCTAAAATCCGAGAAATCTCCAAGTCAGCCATAGCACTTGAAATAATCAGAACTAGTGACTCAGCCCCGGCGAATGCACGAATACTGCCATTAACACATCTTTTGATTATGAAAATGATTATTGTGCGGAACTCGCATAATTATAATTTGAGAGATTTTGTTCATTTGAATTTTAAAGTAATGCAATATTCAGCCTGCGGTTAATGCTTGGGTATGAATATATCATAGCCAGTATTTTAAAAATTACTAAAAATTTATTTTTAATTTTATTTGCATAGATTTTACAAACTAAACCATCTTTGAAGATTTGTGTTTTAGGCGGAAAAATATTGCACGAGGAGCTGCCACATAATTTCATAGGGTAATAAAAAGTAATTTTAATTGTCACGCTGAACTTGATCTAGGAAATCTATATCTCTATGTATATTAAGGGAGAGTTTTCAATTGAACACATGGCGCAAGACTAGATAGGGAAATCTACAAGGTGGAAAATTAGATAGCGAAGTCCACATATCGCAACCACATCACTCCATCATTTAATGATAATTTTTTTATTTGTAAATATGTAAAATCTACAAATAATCCATTCTACCTGGTGAATTAGAGAAAATATTAAATAAAAAAATATTATCCAACACTTAAAAGGAAAATGCGAGAGACCATATAATAATTTACTAGTAAAGTAACTTATGGTAATTGTAATCAGCAGATTTGAAAAATTAATCCGTTTTTGATGATATCCGCAAAAGTCCAAGAAAATTGTAACTATGTGAATTCAAAAAAATTATTTTCGTGAGATCTCTTTGCTTCTTCTTCTCACTCCCTCACCTTTTTATTTTCTTGGATAACAAAATCAGTTTTGTCAAGTCTACTTCACAACAATATCAGTTCTTCTTTATATTTACAAAACACAAGATAATAAAAAAAAAATAGTAAAAGGACAAAGTTAATTTGATCAAATTGGTTGATTGTGAGATCAACACAAATTCGATGGCAAAATTACGATTCAAAATCGACAATAACGATAATCTAATCAAAATGGTTGATCATGAAATCAAAACAAACTGGATAGTCAAGTTCACATGTTGCAACCATATTACTTCATTATTTAATTGTAATTTTTTCATATAAATTATAGATTTATAAATATAACTAAATATACTAGAAAATAACCCCTTACTGGGGTTTTAATGATAAATAAAAAAGAAAGGTGATTAAAAAATACTTTTTAATAGTAAGATAACTTTTTTCCCGTTAATGGGCAATACTAATGAATAATTATTATTGACTATGTTGTATTGAATTCATTAATTGAGTTTTTGTTACAAAATGTGGTTTTAAATTTTTTTTTATATATTTCATTCAATTAGAGTGGTTTTCTTTTTTTAATTATGGAGTCTTGATTTATTTTCCGTATATGGTCAGTTATGAAGTGTGTTTTTTCTTTGTTTAATTGCTTTTGATTTTGTTTCATACTCCCAGTTGACCAATTATTATTATTATTATTATTATTATTATTATTATTTTATTTGCAAATGAATCGTGTTTTTTTTTTTTGTGTTTGGACTTTCAAGAATATACTTTTTTGGATTTGATTTTTGGACTTCTTTTAGTTCCTCATCATATAAATAGTTCAGGTCGTTTCTTCTAATTAATTTATGGGGAAACCTTTTATGAATTTGAGGCGGAGAGGGAAGGAATGATGTTTCTACGTTTATTTGTGTTTTTATACAAATAAATTTCTCAATTTTTAATGGGCTATCTTTTAATTTTTTTTTTTTTCCTTTATTTGCCATGGTGAGGTGAGTTCCTTTTTGCTATAACTTGAAACATATGTAAATTTACATTATTTTCATTCTCATATTTGTGATTAACCAGTTTTAAAATCATATTTTTTATATTTTATTACCTATAAACTTTTGGAAGAAATAGTTCCAACAATTAAACATCTAACCTTGGGAGGAAGCTTACTACAAAGCTATTATAAATCTCCAAAACTAAGCATTGATTTGACACGACCAATGGAGAACATCAATAAATTATCTTATTAATATTTAAACTTATTGGCATGCTTTCATATGTTGTCTAGCATTTACTTCAAGAGATATATTTGATCAAGTTTATTTATATTTAAGAAGTAACACTTATAAAACATTTCTAAAATCTTCAAACATTTATAAAATGTACCGGACCAAATACAATTTCTTTTTATGCCAAATACAAACATTTCTATGATCACACTTATAAAACATTTCTAGATTCTTCAAAAAATTCTAAAATATATCGGGCCAAATACAAAATATTTTTTTTTTATACAAATATTTCTAAGATTTATAGATATTAAGCAAAGGTCGCGCATTACGCGACCAGACATCACTAGTATATAGAAGAAGAAGACAAACTCAAAGATATAATTACCTAACACAATTAGAATTTGCTATCCAAATCTTGATAGGAATCCCTAACCCAGACAAACTCCTTTATGTATATAATTTTTTTTTTATTTGAAAACAATGTACTTGTGTTAGACATTTTACCTCCTTTTACTTTACAATATACTACTTCCGGTCCTTAATATAAGACATTTTCATTTGTAGTAGGTTTCATCTATTAAATATTTTTAATTGACAAAAAAAAAACTTTAAAAATATTTATAATAATCCAGAGAACACAAAGAATGTGACAATATATTTTTAAGATTTTCTTTTCGACTAAAAATACATCTTATGTGAAACTTAGAAGAAATCAAAAAGCCTAATATTAAGGACCGGAAAGAGTATTTCTATATTAAACTTACACATTCTACCATAAATTATAAGGACCAAAATTTAGCTATTATCTTCTCCTTCTTCTTAAAAGGAAAAACCATGGAGAACCGATCTCCACGAACACCACCATCGACATTACCATCGGAAGCGGCCCAGACGAAGAAGACGAATAGTAAGCATGTCACATTGTCGAGGGAACTGATCGAGCATCTAGAAAACCCGAATACCTGGTTCCGAGTCCGGGAGTATTGCCCCGACTACGAAAAGATCCGGCGGATGTGTGAGATTCAACAAAACATGGACGCAAACGAGCTCCTTACCTACGTTATGTATGGTGATGGTGAACAAGTTGTGTGGGACGACGACGTTTGGAATTTGCAGCAGATCACCAGCACCCCTGATCAAGATCAGCCGCCTCAACCTAAAAACGGCCAACACTAAGTGCTAGTAGTAAGTGACTACGGGTGCCAACCACAGAAAAAAAGAACCCTAATTTAACAATAGATGTGGATTGCGATAGTGATGGCCTCTCGGTCCTATAATGATTATCATGGACAATTATTTTGAGACATATGGAAGGAGCGATAAATTAGATTATTTTTTTTAATATTTACTTTAATTTTTTTTTTTTGTATAAATTTTGGTTTGATGGATTCAATTTATTTTTTTTTAAAATAAAATTGAATGGCCTCAATGAGAATCGAATCCTCTACCTCTTAATAATAACTATTCCCCATCTTATTTCCCTAACTATCTCATCCAATTCTCCCACCCTGATGGATTCAAT